AACACTGGGGCAAAAATTAAAATTGTACTTCAGTACAGATTATGATTTTTTTAATTAAACACAAAAATAAAAAATTTATAAATAAAAAGTCAAAAGTGTAGGGTTCTACCATTATGTAGAAGTCACATGCTAGGAAAAAGAAGCAAAATGCTTAATTCTTTATGTTAGGTAACCCTAAAATCACGCCATAAGGTCTATGACATTTTATCAGGAACGTGACCCAGTACAGTGCAGCTTCGATGGTTTCCTGAGAAGCTCTCTCTGACGTCACTCACCAGAATGGAACTCAGTAGGCCAACTGCCCCTGAAGACTGTCTAACAGATTCCCTGTATCTACACAGGTATTTGTCCTCATTAAGAAAACCGTTTTCCCTGAGTCACACAGCCAGCCATAAACACTTGGAACTTCAACAGTCTTTGTAAAAAGGCTTTTACTCATCCATTCAGTGTTCATTCATTCAGGCACCACTCTGAGTGATGAGGGCTTCAGCTTTCGGAGAGCTTAGGTTTTCATGGGGAAAGACAGATAAGAAACAAACAAGAAATAGTATCAGACGACAATGAAACTACGCAGATAGCAGAATCAGAATGTCCTGACAGAAAGGGATTAGATGGCTCCTTTAGATTGAGAGACTGAGGAAAGCAACTCTGAAGAGAAGTCATTTAAGAGGAGATCAGCCTGGCTGGTGTGGCTCAGTGGTTGAGTGTGGGCCCATGAACCAGGAGGTCATGGTTCGATTCCCAGTCAGGGCATAAGCCCATGTTGCGGGCTCCATCCCCAGTGGGGGGGCATGCAGGAGGCAGCCGATCAATGACTCTCATCACTGATGTTTCTCCCTCTCCCTTGCCCTCTCTGAAATCAATAAAAACATATTTTTTTTAAAAAAAATGAGATCCAAATGATGAAATGGAGCCAGCCAAGCAAAGACCAGAAAGAAAAGTCTTTCAAGCAGAGCAAATCCTAAGGTACAAATTAACTTGGAATGTGTTAGAAATGGAAATAAAGACAATGTGCCTTATGCACATAGTGGGCAAGGGAGCATGTAGTAGAAGGTGAGGTCTGAGATTACCTAGTGCTTGACAAATCTGGATAAGGAGCTTGGATTTCATTTTAGGCATGATGAGAAAGCAATAGAGGGTTTTAAGCAGAAGTGTCATGTATTATAATTTCCCACTTGGGAACTGGATTGTAGAAAAGTAAAGCTAGGAGCGGGAAGAACAGTAATGGGGCTGACTACTGCAGTAGTTCACAAGAGGTGGTGGTGGTATGTTAGGCCATGGCCAGGATGACCTGTAATAAGCCCCTAAGTGGACATAAACTGAAAATCCCTAGGCTCCTCTTCTGTGCAGGCTCTGATCAACTGAGAGTGCCCCAATGCTAGGAAAGTGAGATCTTCAAGGTCAGGAAACCAAGTAGTAGGCCTGGTAGCTTTGGCTCCCTGAATTGCAGAAGTTACTCTAGATGGTAACATAATTGTTTCTGGGTGGTTATGTGGCTGGATCTGTAGCCTGTCAGACATCTCATTCCACATGGGGCTGTAGACATCATCAAACTTCAACAGAAATTCCCATAAAATACAAGGAATAAGTAAATGACTTACCCTCTTTCTCATTTTGAAACTTACCTACCAGGAATTTATTCTTACCTCACAAGGGAAAAGTAGGGCCTTCTATGAAGATTTGGACAAATCTGTATTTATTAATCTCAACAACCAAACAGAGCAAAAAGAGGCAGTCAAAATGTTTAGAAAACTTGAACATGGTAGAAAAAAAGATCAAAATTAAGACCTAGGTTAGCAAGTCCAATAACTCCGTAAGCACTCTCTCTGGCTCAACCTCGTGCAAATTCACAGTGGCTAGCTGAAAACACATGGGGGCACTCAATAATATTTGCTGAATGAACAGCCCTACCCAACACATGGTCTGAGAACCCTCAACTGGAACAGAAACAAGGAACAAGACAGTGACAAAGGAATTCTCTAGGAACCATTTCCTCCAGGCCACTTTTGTAAAACTTCTATTTCGAGTCTATTAATTTATAATTTGTGATCGTTCAAATTGAAGCTATAGCCAATGCTTTAAAAAGGCTATTATGATTAAGAATAACAACAACTATTACTAAGCATTTACACTAGGTAAGATCATATGCTAAGTGTTTTTCATGTAATAATCTCATTTAATCTTTACACCAGCTTTATCAGACAGAAACTATTACCCTTATTTCCAGAAGACGAAATGGAGGCTTAGAGATAAAAAATAGCTTCTCTGATGTCACAGTGCTGTAAAGTGAATATACTGGGCTTGTAAGCAAAATCTGTCTAAATTCAAAGTCCTATAATCTTAACCACACTCAATATTTCATTTAAAATCTTAATTCATACAAAGAAGGAACACTAATCCCTTAAAGCTTTTCAGAATAGAATATAGAATTCAATAAATTTGCTTTAAGCATTATATAACTTTTAAGTATCATATATTGAAATAATTTACTAATTACCAATTCTGTCTATGTCATTAAAACAAGTCCCTTTCTCTGCTGACTACTTTGTTAACCTACTCTAGTTTCTCTTTATAATTAAACATAATAAAACTTAATTTTTTACAAAAATAAACCCGTAATTCACCCTTACCTAAGACTATCTTCAATCCTCAGCCCAAATTTCTGAGTTTACTATATTTTAATAAAAGCAAATGATTTTACAACTTTATAATCATAAAGTCTTACTATGGAAGAAACTCGCACGTGCATGTGCGTGCACATAGACACACACTTTGTGTGGAAATTTCCTATCCTCCTACTAAACTTTGGCTAAAAGCTGGCTACTGATGCCAATATATTCACAGTCGACACCTACTTCTTTTCAACATATGCTTTCTATTAAAGTTGCAAAAATAGGACACAATGAAGAATTTTAAATTGCACTTTTAGGCAGAAGATGACTTGTGTAGATAATTGGCATAATAATCCAGTTTCAGATGTCTTCCCATCATGTTTCCTTCTCTTGCCTTTAACCAGTAGGTAAAGTCTTTGCTTTTTAATATAACTTTATCCCCAAAAAAGAAAATAAGTCCACACTACCATATGAATGTTACATCAATTTAGAAACACAAATTTTAAGAACTTTCATTACACGATCATATGAAATTGGGCCAGTGACAGATTATGCAATAAATAATATTCAGGAAAATGTTCATCTAAAATCTCTTCATTTTACATATATAACATTCTGTATGACTGCATACTCTGTTATGTGATCTCATTCTGAAAGAGAGTATTATAAATACAAGAAAGCGGTTAGAGCTATGCCAAAAGTGAAAAAACTCTTTTGACTTTTATGCTATTAAATCTCAAACATAACACTGCAATCATTTTTTGCATAAATTCATATAACTTATATAAATGTTTTTTTTAACCTAGGAATGGCACAACCACCACAGTTCAATAGCCCATCTAGTTTGATATCCTGTCTCTGACAGCAACCAACGCTGGATGCCTCACAGGACAGCATAAACACATAATGTATATAATTATGCATCACTGCGCCATTACTCCAGATGGTGGTTAGATTATATCCTGAAAGAAATGAAAACAAATCCCAACCTCCATCCCTTCCCTACTCTACGATTTCCCAAAAGGTGATGGGAAACCTCAAATAAAGGACAAATTTAACCATAAAATAAGCCAATGCTTTGGTAACATAATGAGCAAGAAACAATCTCCTAAAATAAAAAGTCCCACTTAGATATAGAACCTAAGCTCATCAAAACTTGTGATTTGTAAAGAGGGATTTCAATGTATTGAAAAGTATCTGATTCACTCAATTAGAATTAGATGAGCAAAATTTACTAAAGCTTAAAAAAATACTGTACTTTTTACCCAAGCCATACATCTTGTGGATATGTAATAGTGTTTTATAAAAGCAATATAAAATTTGTATTTTTAACTCTTCAGAGAAATGATATTCACACCTGTTTTGTAATGGTTTTTAAATAAGGCTTGAATTTATTAAATGTTCATCTAAGTGTGCAAAACCACATAATGAAGAAATCTTGGTTTAGTCCTTTAGGAAGCACTATTTCCTAAACAATTACAGACAAAAAATGCACTCTACTATTAAGGACCTCTGGTGAAGATACTTCTCTTTGCAGTATAGTTGGGTATTGATTTAACAACGCTTGTAGTCAGGAAATAGCGCCTGACCTAAATTTTCCATGATATAATTTATATTCATTTTCTCTTTTTCTGTCCTCAAATAAGTTGTAAAACATTAGGTCATATCATAATACTTTATGTATTTGAAAATCCTAAGTAAGGAGTCCTTTTCCAAGTAACTGCATTGCAGGACGATGAACCAAGTAACAGTCTTGTATTGCATTGTCTTATATAATTTTTATATGCTGTATATCGTAGGCCAAAAGGATATCAAAAATTACAAATACATCATTTTTACCAAGCACTACTCTTTCCCCATTATAACACACTTTCTCAAAAAAAAAGAAGAAAAGCATCTGTATTTCAGAACCTAAAAAATTCAGAAAGGATCTTTATGAGAGATGGGAGCAAGAAACAATGCACATAAAATTCCACACAGACACTGCTTCCTTCCTAGAATAGGGGATCATTTAATGAAATGTATCTCCCCAAATCTCTGGGGCAGGGCTGAAGCTGCAGTGCAATATCATAAAATCTGCAGCTGGGTTGCTATTCTTAATAGGCTACATTGCTTCCTCAGACCTCAGGAAGCCAAAACACACATTGTCCAAACAGAACTTACCTTACCAGGAATTGGCCAAAGCAGCAAGCAGCTATGATAGACCAGGTATCAAAATGTTATTGAAAAGATTGCACACATCTTTAGGAATTTTCTCCTCAAGCAATTTGTTTGCTCCAGGAAAGCTGTATCTATTTATGTTTCCAAACATCAAAATTTTCTTAGAAATAAAAACAATAGGATAGGAAAATAAACTTTACTGTATATAAATAAGCATTAATAACTTACTTTTATTGCCCACCAAGGCAACCAGTGGCTGAGTTTCCGACTCCTCACTCACTTTCTTCACCACAGTATACCAGTCTTCTAAATTCTCGAAGCTTTGATAATTTGTAATATCATATACCAAGAGAATTCCCTGTCACAAAAGAGTTACAGGATATTTGTAATAAACTACATGAGAATAATATTCATACTAAATACTCTTAAATCATGCTTCAGATATGCCTAGGATAATGTAAAAATACAAATGCAGCCTGTTTTATATGCAAACTGACTTCAATTTAGCTACTAGCAGACAGTACTGAATGTTTTCATTCCAGATAAACCCAAACCAAGCAAAGCAAGCTAAATAATAACTTTATCAAATTATAAGTGGCTGCCCAATAAGATAGCTGGGATATGTTTGGTAAGTTACAATCAATGTAAGAAAATCGTTATCACAGAGGTAGAAAAGCTGCAAGGTCTACAATCCTGTCTGCTACTTTCATGAGGTCAAACATTTAAACCTTTCAATAAAAAAACCATCTGCTGCTGCTCTTTTTAAATATTTTTTAAAATGGAGATCCCATGACATCCCTTGATAGTCCACTGCAGTGTTTTAACACAATTTTCTTTAAATGAAGTAAGTCGATTTCCTCTTCTGGCCCTCTGTGCATTTGGAGAACATGCGAGTATCCTCCTTGTAATAACCCTTCATGTTCTTGAAGGTAGTTAAGAAACTCCTTTACCATCTCCTTTCCAGAATAAACAAACTCAATTCCTTAAACTTGCCTCAAAGGACCTATTTTCTATTGCTTTAATCATAGTTGTTGGTTCTTCCCAGGACACTATCCATACAGTTTTCTGACATCCTCTTTAAAATGAGCAATGTAAAACTGGACATGATACTGTAATAAGAGCACGAACAAAGCCAAATATAACAGAGGGATTGCTTCCTGCCTCTTATATATCATATTCCTTTTAATATATCCCATTATTTTGTGGGGAAGGAGAAGTATTTACACACAAAAATCACACTGCCACATTCTTGAGTCTCATCCAGGTCGTGGTCAAACACTTAATGCAAAACTCTGCACACAATATAAGTCTGGACCCTAATAGCACTTACGTCTCTTCCTTCTTAGGTTATAATCATAAATGTTGACTACTTTTTTGCACCTACAATGTACTAGACAGATATATAGATCTTTTCATTAATCATCAGTACAAGCGTGCAAAGCTGGTGCTATTCTCATTTTACTAATAAACACAGGTTAAAATAACCAAGGTCACACAGCTAGTTAAGTAATTGAGCCAGAATTTGAATCGAAGACTGAATGAATATAAAGTTCACTCATTCGTTCCACAAACAACTGTCTGCCAATTATATGCCTAGCACTGTGCTGGGCACTAGGGATATAAATTCCAAACCTCAAGGAACTCACAGTCTTGCATCAAGGCCAAGCACATAAACAGGCAACCATACCAACACAGAAGTCATGGCTAGTGATATCCTGGTAAATATTAATCAACTGACTTGGGGGATGGCAGGGCTGGGGGTCAGAAGAGCATTATTTGTAGCATTTGCTCATTTCTGTGGTGTAAATGCTGCCGTGTGGCCACTTTCAAACTATCAAAGTCATTTCACTGATCACAGAGCTGGGTAGACACCACTATACAGCATCTCCACCACACAGATACACTAAACGTAAACAATCTCCAAAACATAGATAACAAAAATATATAGCAAAATTAGTAAGTGTGCATTTTGAGCATATATTTGTTTTTAATATAATTTATAATGTACATATAACTTTTAATCATAAATGTATTCAACAACTGGCTCACAGAAACTCCTAAACCTAACAGCAACCCTCCCAAACTGGCACTAGCATACTACTGTTATGATCTTCCAGTACCATGCTCGTTTATTAAACTACACTGGATCCAAGTCACTTATTTTCCCTGAGTCCTGGGTTATTTGCCTCTAAAATTAGATCACTGAGTTAAAGAGTCTCTAAGATCCTTTCCAGTTTAAATATTCTATAATTATTATGCAAAAGCACTTACCTGATTCATTTAGGTAACCTGGACATCTGTTTCTGTCTGTCGTCCCAAATGCATTGAAATAATGCCCAACACAGAATTACTTTTCTTCTTAAGAATAAGACCCAGAACTGACCTCTGAAGAAAGCTACTCTTCAGTCTATTGAATATACCTCCAGTTGTCATATGTGATTATATATTGTGTTAAAAGAACTCTGCTCTGGAAGTCAAATCACTGTTGGGTTGCAGTCCAGACCCTACTATCTACTGACCTTGGGCAATGCTCTGTCATCTACCTTTATAATATCTGCCATACCTAAATGATTAAATGAAGTAATAAGAAATAGACTTATTTAAAAACTAACATACACGATTGCTGGGAATTTTTTTGTTATTCTGAGTGAAAAAAGAATCACAGTTTTAAAGCAATTTTAAGGTAGTTTTTACACTCATAAATTGAGCCTTGACCTATGATGACTCTTAAACCATAAGATTTTTGAAACCATTCTAATTAATATATGCAAATCTTCATGTCAACATGGGTCAATATCTGAACATGATAGAACATGTGCAAATAAAACATGACTACCATCTCTTGATAATTATTACTAGACAGAGCTATGGAATAACAATTAAATACTACTGATCTAGACCAGGGGTTCTATGGCCCACAGATCAAATCCAGCTCACACCCCATATTTTTAAATAAACTTCCATTGAAATATACTCATTCTCATTATTTTAAGTGTTACCAATAACTGCTTTTGCACTACAACTGCAGAGCTGAGTAGCTGCAGCAGAGACAGTGTGGTCTGCAGAATCTAAAATGGCTTCTATCTGGCCCTGTAAGGGAAAGTTTGCCAATTCCTGATATACACCAATATGTCCTGTATTTCTCAGTCAGTGATACCTATAAATCTTCTAGGACTCAAAAGGAAGATAGAAGGATAAGCACTTTTTCATTAATCTAGCTATCCACCAACTCAAAATTCTATCTGTTCATATACCCCATTCTCAATAATGTAAAAACTATGATTTTATCTTTGCTCCTAAGATGACAATTTTGAACTAGTTTTGACCTTCACCACTATGGTGAAATTTGAGAAGGAACTATAACAAAACCAAAAACATTAAAATATAAAAGAAATTCCAGGGCAGATGGTTACTAGATTTATTAGGGTGATCACTTTGTAAAGTATATAAATGTCTAATCACTGTGTTGTACACCTGAAACTAATGTAATACTGTATATCAACTATAATTAAAAAATAAATTTTAAAAAAATAAAGGAAAAAAAAAATTTCCAGGACTTTCAGTTTTACTTTCAACATGTAAAGAGCTTAGAGGTCATCACATCTGTCCTTACAATCAGAAAAAAGCTAAACAAACTGAAAGTAAATTACTTTTCTTGGATATAACAGAGCTGAGTTTGGCAGGCAAATTTCCACCCTGAAATCTAGAGAGAGAGGTAAATTCAGAGAGTCATAACCCAAATCTGCTTACCTAGAGCAGCAATTATTAGAGCCAGTAAATGGTAGAAACATTTAAATGATAAATTTGATGAACTGCTAAAGGCTGAGTGTGGTTTAGTTTGAAAATGAGAAATTCCTAGGGGACACAGTCTTAGAGAGAGTGAGTTTTTACCTCCAGGAAACCCACCAGATCCTCATGGTAGAGTCAAGAAAGATTCCTTCCTGGCTCTGGCAGGAAAGGAAGAAAGTAATCATTATAAAATGTGCACAGAGCATTATCCATAAAAAAGGCATCCTCACCAAGAGAAAAAGCTCAATCAGAGTGTTAGATGAGGACACAGAGGAAGGGCAGTTCCCTATTCCAGCCCCCTCTATCCATCTTGTCTCACAAAAGTGGGAAGAGCTAAGAAACACCTATAAAGGTCACAGCCCAGGGTCACAGGCCACTGAAAGGCCATGACCTAATCATAAAAGTACAGAATGTTTCCCCTCCCTCGTACTTTGCCACAACACCAACAGAGCTCCAGTATGATAGTAATGGATTACAGTTGAAAGAGCTACAAGACACAAACTTCAAGTCACAAAGAATCCTTTAAGATACCCAGAAAAAAGGAGAGGAAAACTCAAGGACATAGAGAAATTTGATGTCTCTGGCACCTATAGCTTCAGCTAACATTAAACACAGACTAACTCCTAGCCAAGTTAACATAAAACCTCACAATAAAGGCCTACTTGTCTGAGTTCTTATTACTCAATACATCATGTCTAGCTTTCAACAAAAAATCAGAACACTAAAAGGCACTTTGAAAAGAAAAAACAATCATTAGAATCATACTCAGATATAATACAGATTTGGAATTATCACACTAAGGATTTAAAACAACTATGATTTAATATGTTAAAGGTTCTAATAAAAAAAAAAGTAGACTACATGCAAGAACAGATGAGTAACATAAGCAAAGAGATGGGAATTTTAAAGAATAATATAAAGGAGCCATGGCCGGGTGGCTCATTTGGTTGGAGCATCCCATACATCAAAAGGCTGCAGGTTCAATTCCCTGTCAGGGCACATACCTAGGCTGTGGGTTCAATCCCCGGTAGGAAGGCAACAGAGCGATGTTTCTCACATCAATGTTTGTGTGTGTATCTCTCTCCCCCTTTCTCTCTATCTAAAAATCAATGAACATATCCTTGGGGTGAGGATATAAAATAAAAGCAGCAGCAGCCCTGGCCAGTGTGGCTCAGTTGGTTGGTGCATCATCTCAAGCACCGAAAGGTTGCTGGTTCAATTACTGGTCAGGGCACATGCCTGGGCTGCAGGCTCGATCCCCAGTATGGGGCGTGCAGGAGGCAGCTGATCAATCTTTTGCTCTCACACTGATATTTCTCTTTCTCTCCCTCTCCGTTTCTCTCTAAAAATAAAAAGAATAAAAAGGAAATGCTAGATACCAAAAATAGTGTAACAGAAATGAAGAGAGCCATTGATGAGCTCATCAGCAGACTGAAAACAGCCTAGAAAAGAATCAGTGAACTTGAAGGTACTAGAAACTTCCAAAACTAAAATGCAAAGAGAAAAAAGAATAAATAAAACAGAATATCAAAGAACTATGGGACAATTCTACATGGTGTATCATACTTA